AAAGTGTTTATAAAAGTAGCTTTATTTCAAGAAAAACTGAATATAGTATAGCCCAGTGGTCAAGAACATGGACTGTGAGGACAATGGAACTTGATTTGAGTCACTGTATCCTATTTGGCATTGATGTGATGATAGCCTCACCTGCAAAATGGTTAACATAATCATATCCACTTCAAGGGTTTGTTGTGGGAGTTGAATGAGATTAAAATATGTCCATATGCCTTCGAATATTTATCCTTAACAGAGTGGCTAGTACATGGTAAGCATTCAACAAATTTTGACTATTTTTTACTTATAACAATATTAACAAAAGTTTATAACATCCAAGATAACATTTTCCTACACATGCTAGTTAAAATCAAACTCATTATTTTCAGAAGTAAAGCAACTTTGAGAAACAAAACATGAGGGTTGCCATATAGTTTATACTACAATGTTATGGGAGGTCTGGCATTGGTTCTTGTTCCTCTTCCAAAGAGTTCTCCAGTCGGCTGATGTGGGTCAAAACTGAAAACCAGAGTGGTGGCTTTACTATGTTTTCAGGGAAAAGAACTGCCATTACACACATTAGAATCCCATTTTCCATTGACCCTTCTTGAGAAATAAGCCATATAAACATGTTGATATGGGTGTCACAAATCTCTTAACTTCCCTAGTAATTATCGTGGTAAGCTACATGTTCTGTGTTTCAAGGCAAAACTACATGAAGGTAGAAAAAATTGGCAGAATGAACAGTACATGTGGATATAAACATCAGTTCTTCAGACAAAAATGTATGTCCTTCATAAAACATTACAATTCCATTTTGTTTCTCAGAATCTGTATGTCATATTTTACATTAGGAAAACTTTCAGTAATTTTCTAATCAAGTCAGAAAAATAGCTCGTCAGCTTGAGCTTTTGCCTACATTTTCTTGCTCAAATTTTGGGTGTGCCTCTTCTGATGGGCCCAACGGCCCATGTAAACTGACAGAAAGACTCTTCATGTGAGAGGGCATGGAACTGAGATGCTTCAGCAGCCATTTTGGCAGGAGGGGCCATGAAGTTTCCTTTTTGGAGCTAGGACTTTCAGTTATAAGTAATAAACCCAACTCAAACTTACTTAAGTAAAAATTTAAGTGTGTTATAAATGTAACTGGGTATCTCAGGAAACCAAGAGCAATGGAAATGCCAATATTCAAAAGAGATGAGATGTAACTGAGCTTAAAGATGTCCTGGCAGGAGAGTCAGGCTTCCAGTACCAGGGTTTCTCTTCTCCATCTTGCCTCAGTTTCCCTAAATGGTAGCTTCCTTCCTTCTTATCAGTGTACACTGAGTTTTTCCAAATGACAGAGGACTGCCTTTGGTTTTTTAGCTTTATAGAGCTTCAACCAGACAGAGGGAGAATCACTTTTTTAGTTCTAATTCCAAAATCCTGGGGGTGGGGGGAACTCAGCTAGGTCTAACTTGGATCAGATTAACTGGGGCAAAGAGACAGAATAGCATTTGGATCCATTTAGTGAGGCGCCCAATCAACCACTGCCTACAAGCAATATCATTGTAGTAGTATGTTGGTTCCTTTATAATTATAAAGACAGTGTTTATTTTAAAAATGGGGTGGCCGTTCTCACCAGAAGAGGGGTCACCTCTGACTATTCCAGAGATGTTCACTATTGCATGAAGTCTGTGAATACATTGCAAGGAGATAGATCATTCTAGCTTCCCTTTTGCCAGCAAAGACTGCCTATGGTCCCTGAGAACTTCCTGTTAAGCTATCCATTCACTGTTAGAAAGTTCAAGATGGTGGGAAGGCTGGAGGTGGTTGGTGGGCGGACGGGGGTGATTGCACATGAACCTGACCGAGCAGGGAGAAGGGAAGGAGGGTGCATTAGGAAACATTGCCAACGTGAAGCAGAGGGTCTTGGCCTCCCAGATCTTTTCAGATTAAATCCTTGTGGTTCTCCCAGCTGCCTCTCTTCCTCCTGTCTTACACCTCTTTTTAATATTTTCTCCCATCATTTTTAAAATGAAGACCTTCTATGTTACTTATAAGACTTCTGTCCTCTAGAGAAGCTTTAGGCAAAAGTTTGAAGTAAGGTAGTTTGTTTTTTCAGAAAAGAACTTTCCCATGGCCTCTTGTTCTTTTTAGAAGAACAAAATCTGAGGGTCAGAGGAGACCAACCTGGAGGGCCAGAAAGCCCATCTATTACTGTGTGTGTCCCATTCCTGGCATCCATTACAAGTGGCCATCGAGACTGCTTGAGCACATATCACAGTGGGGCAGTCACCACTTTTCAGGAGAGCCCAGTCTATCTCTAGATAGTCCTGGCTATTAGGAGTGTTTCCATGTATTAAGTTCCTACTGGGACAAAAATGTGTCTTTCCTTATTGCTTATACCTGTTGGTCCTAGTTCTACCACTGGAAACAAACAAGTCTAATCTTTTTCCTACATGCTCGCCTTCCAAGAGATCCATCACATTATCATGTTTCTCCCTATGATCTTTTTTCTTAAGGCTGAGCAACTGTTCTCTGTTATATGGGATTTCAAGTACCTTTATTAACCGGGACACTCAGTTCTAGAAGCTTTAGTTACTTACATGTTCTTAATTCCACCCCCCTCCATAACCAGGCATAACTTTCTAGATGTAGAAAATTCAGCACAGAAATAACAGAACTAATAATATCTTTCATTATAAATGTAGAACTTCAGGGAAATCACATTTATCTTTTGGGAAGACCAACCTATGCTTAGTCACTCTCATGCTGAAACTTATATAATCTATGTATATAGAAAGCCAGAGACTGGAACACATACCACCCACAGCCCCTCCCATGGCCGGCCCCACCCCCAACCGGCCCCCCTCACCCCAATTGGGGGCAGGGCCCGCCAGCCAATTGCCCGCAGCCCCTCCCCCCAGCCGGCCTGGCCCTGATAGGGCCGATTAGTGGGGGCCAGCCAGCCAACCTCCCACCATCTCCTCCTCTTGACAGGCCCAGCCCAGATCCACCCCAATTGGGGCCAGGCCGGCTGGACCCCACCTGTGCACGAATTCAGGCACTGGGCCTCTAATAATTTATAATAAAATTGAAATGATAAAGAGTTCTGGTATCTAAATTTTACAAGTGAATTTCAGGCATTAGTACTTGAAATTTGAATGAAAGGAGGTGGGGGAATTTTTGAATTACCATAATTATTCAAAGCATATATTTGCTTCACTTCCTATTCATAATGCTAGTACTATCCATTCACTGAAAATTAGTGAGCACAGTAAATCCATATGAGGGGATTATTTGATTCCTTTCTTCCTCTTACAAAATTCATATGCTTAACAAACATTATATTCTGTTTACACACACACACATACACACACACACACACACACAGTCTGGGATAAGCACTGTAATGCACACCCAGCCCTCAAGGAGCTAACAGTTTAAAAACTGAAGGTGAGCCTTTTGCTCCCCTCACTGAAGGGTGCTGTATATGCCAGTTAATTAAGGAAGAGCAAGAGGTCACCATGTTGGATTGGGTGGCACAGTGAGTTAGTCTGAATAAATTCTTAACTTTATTGTTCCAGAAGCACAACTAGAAGCAGAACCCAACTTGAATAAGTTGAAGTTTGAGGGGTCAATCAAAGAATCTCCAACCCCATGTAAAATGACCATCCTAACATAGGAACACACTGAGTCCTGCCTTTATCTCTAGTCACTTAGGGGTTCATCAGGGAAACTGATTATCTCAGAACATAATGTAGAATATTCTCTTCTATTTATGTATTTCTAGGTTTAAAGTGAGGATATGGCATATATATATATATATATATATATATATATATATATATATATATATGTATAATGCACCCCAAAATGTATACACACACTTTGAGTAATTATAAGGCAGTTTATTAAAATACATTTAATTTTTACAATTGAGTTATCAGCAGTTATAGTGTGTATACATTTTTGGGGGGACACCCTGTATATGTAGATTCCATGTTAGACAAATTTAAAATGTTCAGTCTTAAAATTTAATATGAAATAAGTGATGACTTTTTATAAACCTATCATAAGCTTATCTACTCATTATTTTCTAAAAACATCTGAATATGTGACAAGTTCCTCAACATAGGCAAGAATAGCTGTCCCAGACCCTGTGAAATTGCATATTTAGCAAGGGAGTTTGACATTTCTTCTGTCAGCAACATATGTCCCTGACCTACTTCCATTTCTGTTAAGGAAATTTAAAAATTATGACAAATCAGGACAGGCCCAGGAGTCCAAGTCCATAGCCATAGGGTCTGTTACTAAAGGTCTATGTATTAGTAAAGCTAAAATTGAGATTTTGTCACCTTGTTAGCCCCAGAAAGTTTGAATTTAATGACCCTGCATCATTTAGTTCCCATAAAGGAGAAAATGCAAGAAAAGAGACATCGTGAAGCTACCTACCACACAACTTAGAAAGTAAATTCAAGATTCCTTAGATTAAGGGGAATCAACTTCATCTTTAAGGTTCAGCTCATGGTTGTATTTAGCAACTTACCTAAGAGATTTCAGTCTCAGTATCATTTATTCTTCATCTGAACAATGCTAATAAGCATAGTATTCATAATCTCTCTACTTTAGAATTAAAACAAAGGAGGAGCTCTGGCCAGTGTGGCTCAGTTGGTTGGGTGTCATCCTGTGCACCAAAAGGTTGCTGGTTCAATTCCCAGTCAGAGCACATGCCCAGGTTGCAGGCTTGATCCCTGGTAGGGGACATGCAGGAGGCAGCAGGTTAGTGTTCACCTCTCACATCGATGTACCTCTCTCTCCATCTCTCTTCCTCTCTCTCTCTCTAAAAATCAATTTTAAAATCTTTTTTAAAAAAATAATAAAATAAAACAAAGGAGGACTTCAGAATTGGTGGCTACATTGAATAATTGGGAATACTTTAAGATTAGTTGCTTTATCTATAAACAAAGGCAGAATTACCTATTTTCTAATTCCCTTACTTATATAAAATCTTTTTATTTCTCCAAAAGGTTGTTTGGTTTTTACAAGGGAATTCTACCACCCATATTGGCTGAAACACCAAAAAGAGCAGTGAAGGTAAGTAGTGTACGCTTCCCACCAAGTAACGACAGACTACAGTGACAGCTTCCGCGTTAAAAGATCTCACAACATCCCGTGGGACATAAATTGAATTAAGTATAAGATAAGATGTTTAACGCAGAAATTATGGCATAATTTTATTATAATTAGACTTGATCAATCTCTCAAATATTGGTTTGTGGATTATTTGGGGGGGGGGTAAAGGTACTCCTTTCTAATGGGGAAATTATATAAAAAGCACAGTGGTGAATGAAATTCGTGTATCAAAACACAACAGCCACAATATAGCTTGCACTTTTTCTCAAAGCAATTCATCAATTTTTCTTTGGAGCAATAATTATTAAAGAAAGAGAGAGGAGAGCAAACTAATACACTATATATGAACAGAGTAAACTAATACACTGTATTTCCCTGATATGATTCTCATATAACACATTTCTTTGTCATGCCAACTTCATTACCCCCTCCCCACCTCTGTTAAAAGTTTCTATTCTGGTTTTTCCAAAATTATTGCTTCCATTTCCCTGTTTCCATCTTTTTAACCACATAACTATGGAGTCTATGTACTACTTCCTGCTTCAGTATCTGGATAGGAACACAGAGGACTGGCAGGATTCTCTGAGGGAGAAAGAACTGAATCTGATCACTTTTTTATATGTTCTTTCAGACAAAAATCCTGATCACAGTGACTCTAACTAGCACTGACCCCCACATCCAGACCACTGGCAACACTTATTATGTTTCCATAATAAGGAAACATAAACTTAGACTGAAAGACTTCCTTTCCAACTGACACAAAGCTTTTTGTCACATACATTACTCAAATAATACTCCCCATATTCCTGGAAGGGAAGGGGCAACATTTTATATATACACTATATATATTACATATATATATCAGCAAGTTAAGAGGGTGACTAGATTAAAATTTATGATAAAATAACCTCATGTATACAGAGACACCAAACTTTTACATTATGTCAAAATAGTAATTTAATAGGATTTAATTCAGATCTAGAATTCAGAAAACAAAGCTTTAAAACACACTTTCTCTATAAATTCATCCTCTTTGTTGCCATAGTTTTTGTGATTTTTGTATTATATCTTCAATACAAATGTCATTATAAGGATCTGACTACCAGAGAATCTGGAAAAAGTTCACCAAAGTACACAAGAGGCTGAATGGGATTATGAAACTGCCTCACTTGATAAAAGATTGCCCAAGTAAACAAACAGAGCAGAGTTCCTGTTTTAAAAAAAAGCCACTTTGTCTCCATGGAATAATATATTCATTTGTTCAGTGTTTTACATGTATAAATAAAGTAAATTATAATTAAAGATTTTCCTGGAATATTTTTTCTTAATACTATACATTGGAGACCATTTAAACTTTAAGATGATTAAGGTTTATCAATGTTGAACAGTCTTTTACAGAAGAAAAAAAAAGTTGAACTTTACAAAACTTAGTCTCTATTTAAAAGAAAGCAATGCTCGCTGCCAGTACAATGGTTAACAGATGAACTTTTTGGGCAACTGGCTGTGGTATATGGGTCCCAGACATCTTGTTTCAAGTAGTTGTTACCTTAAAATTATTGAGACATATGGTAAGTATGTTGGCTTTTTTAAGTATAACTTGGAGTTAAAAGTGTATCTTTGCCAGATGGATAGCACTATTTTTAACACAATTCATGAAAACATTCACTTTATAGATATTTATCTTAGAATTTGTGAGGAACAATTTCATACATCGTAAACTGCTTCATTGCATGTCATCAAAGTTTACTTCAGAAAAAAATATTCACAGACCATATATGTGTGTGTATACACACACGTGCACACTTATACATATATATGGTCTATGAATACTTCATATATATATGGGTATAGATATAGATCGTCCTTGGTACTGACATGTCAGTTGCAATTGTTACTATAATCAGAAACAGACAATGTTAAGTTTTTTCTGCACTTTATTCTTTGAAATGAGATTCATCATTAAAATAATAAGACTCACTGATGCTAAATAAATGAAACTTCCTCTTTTACAATTTAAGAGCAATAGTACTACAGTTAGCCAAAGGAAATGAAGACCTCAGAAAGAGACCAGCTGGTTCCTCAGAAATGGGAGGCGCCACGTTCCAGGTTCCAGGGTCTGGTCTTGAGCATCACAGTTCCAGGAACACCATTGTTTCCATGATCAGACTCTCAAGGACTAACAAACTCATGAGAGATTATAAATTGTGAAGGCTGTTTGCTCACCACTATCTCTATAGCTTTCGTAGTGTCTACACATGGCAGATGTTCAATTGATATTACATGAGTAAATGAAACATATGTAGAGAAAAACAGAAAGAAAATGTATGGGTTTAATAACAGGAGACATTTCTATCCAATTCCCCCAAATTAACACATCTACTATTCAGAATTTTTGGAAGTCCAAGATTTCCATTTCCAGCCAAAATGGGGTAACACGGGGACCAGACTTCCTCTCCTGCCTGCAACAGCTACAACAAGAAATAAACAGAATATGAACCACAATTTTCAAGACACTGACATCGGACAAGGAAGGATAGAAAGATGGGAAACAAAGGAATGAGCCCTATGGACTGCCCACCTTACTGCCTGGAAAGGGTTTCCAGGCCAGCCAGGCCAGGGAATATAGGCAGAGCCCAGTGGGTTCCCTGGGTTGAGAAGGAGCTGAGAGACTTGGGAGGGCAAGGCAGCTCGAGTTCATTGGACAAAGTAACAAGAGAGAGCTGCACAGAGAGAACTCTAAGGGTCTGCAGAGGGACACCTTGAGTATTCAGCTGAGAACTGACCAGTGCCTGCATGTGAGGAAATTGGCAAGGCCTGAGAAAGAGCCATCCAGGAATTAGAGGGAGCCGTGCTCCTAGCCACACAAGGCTGAGAATAGTACCTGTTCCCATCAGCCAAACCAGAAGGCTCCAAAATGCACCGGCATCGAGAGGAGTACTCAGAGGGGTTTGCCTCCATAGTAATGTAATCACAGAAAGTCAGAAAACACACACACACACACACACACGCACACACACACACGCACACACACACCTTTATACCAGAAAAGAAAACGGTAGGGAGGCCTTCTGTGGGGTCCATCATCTCCCAGAACTTCTCCGAACCCAGCGAGGACCCCTTAGAGTAGTGTTTCCAAAGTGTGGGTCATGACCCATGGGTCATGAAATCAGTTTAGTGAGTCACCAGAATTTTTTTAATAAATAGAATAGAAACAGAGTTATACACAGTAAAGAGGTAAATATTGTTTTATAATGATGTTTCGTTTGGGTTATAAATACAAAAGTGCACTGTGTGTGTGCGTGTGCATGCATACACCTGTGTTGGGCAAATATTTTTTTATGTAGATTGCGGTCAAAAAAGTTTAAAATCTGCCTTCAGGGACTCTTGGCTTCCAGGTCAGGGAGGGCAAGAATCCTCAGCAGCAAGAAAACTCCAGGGCAGTGCTCTCTACCCAAACCACTAACAACCATGGCTCTGCAGTGAGCGAGTATAGTATCGTGTTTAAGAGCACACACAGGCCTGGGAGTTAGACTTAAGGGGAATCTTCCTTTTCCCACTCACTGACTACAGGACATTTATCTATAAAATGGGAATCATGGCTGTGTTATAACTGTGATCTGATGATGTTTAATGGGTTAAATGCAGGAGCATATGCTATGACTATGACCTTAGCCTGTTTCCTGGACCACAGCAGGCTCTCCTGAGTGACACAAATATATAACTAAGGCACTTTGGTTCCTTTAGTAGCCAAAGTGAAGACAGGGAATGGAAACTAAAATTTTCTAAATGTCTCCAATATACCAGGCATGTCAGGAAATCTTATTTAAATGCTCTTATTTCAAGACTTCTCTAAACGGCGAGCTTTCTGTTCTGAAAGGTCAGGCGACTCACCCATACTTTCACAGCTGAGAAGTGTAGCCAGGATTCAGACCCAGGACTGCTTCTGTCAAAATCCCAGTAAGGTAATTGTCTAAAACAGTGAAGATGATGACCATAAAAAAGAAGAAAAATAAATTATCTTTAAAGCTCAAAACTATAATGTGTTTCCTTTCATGGTTAATGGTTTCTAGTGCAGCTCTCATCAAAAACGTGGTGGTCCCTGGTGGTATTATTGTAATGCCAGGATATAGTTTCAGGGTTATCACCATCCACTGGAATGTTAGATCAAGAAGGCAGGGTTCTCTTTGCTTACTACTGCATCCCCAGTGCCTCTTAGAACACAGGAGGCATCCAAGAAAATATTTGTTGAATGAGTAAATGAAGGAATCTTATTTCTAGAAAAGCCTACAAACATAGTTAACCTAAAGAAGCATGACACAAAAGTAGTTCATGGGTCTTTAAAAGACTGGATATCTATCTGGGGTTGTAATGACCCTTGGGATGCCCAAAGACGCATTTGAGCCCCATCTACACCACAGAACTACCTCTTTCTAACAACAGAGTATTATTTGGCCCCAAACTCTACATTTTTTCTTGCTTCATTTTACTGGGTAAAAAAGTAATAGAGTAGAAGACATATGTGATTACAAAATACCCAGGCCATTTCTGGAGTCTTGGGAAACAGACTAGCAGGACCTAAGAGAGTGCCTTATCGAAGCTGCTTATGGCTGCCTAATGGAGTGCCCAGGAGTAAAACATCATGTTCAAGCAGAGTTGTTGCCCAAAATGTTTGGGGGTGGGGGGATGTAATGTATTTATGGTATGTTATTCAAAGTGATTAATTAGATTTGCCTCCCTAGAAACTCATTTTCAGGAAAATTATATTAAGCATCATCCACTGGAGGAGCCAACAAAATCATCATCATCATATTTTAAAGGAGGGAATAAGCAGCTGTCCTCTGCTCAGGTGGACAGTCTGCCTTTAAGCAGGGATGGGCTGGATGACCTCACCGATCCTTTCCTAGTTTATAATGACATCTTCATCATCACTGAGTGTTGGGAAATTTCTTGGAACAGTAGGTATACATAGCAATACAAATGCAAGTTAAGCTGAGAAGTGGCTGTCTTTTACAAGTCAGATAGATAATTGGGCGTTCACTGGGAAAGCAATTCATAGAGAACACAGAGGAGACTGAAGATTTCAGGTCTCTATGCCTATAATTCTGAATCACTGCCATAAAAAAGAAGTCTATTGATGTCTGGGGAAACTGAAAATGGTCATGGTAAATGGAGGCTGTATGGTCCATTTACTGCTATAAAGGATTCCATCAGCTCCTCTGTAGGTTATTATAGCTGCATTTGAAAATGTGAATGTTAAAGTAAGATCCAATAGCATCTATCCCAGACCAGATTAGAAACTGTGCTCAATAGTTCATCATTTTTAAATGCTGTTTAATATAATGATTCACTAAAGAAATTTGAGTCAATTAAAGGGTTTGTTGCAGGAAATTGTTATAAATCTCTGGGTTTGGTTTTGTTTCACAGTTTTTCACCTTTGAGCAATATAAGAAATTGCTAGGATATGTGTCACTGTCGCCAGCATTGGTAAGTGAGAATATTTATTATACTTGAGTGTGTGTGTTATTTCATAAAACAAAATCTGGAAACAAAAAGCCTTTTGAATCCCCAAGCCCAACTACTAAAATATGAATTCGAGTTATTCAATGTTCAGCTACTTGTTGAAAGCCATCTTCCTAATAACTCACAATTTGGCTATTTTATAGCACCCAGTGATGAATTTATTATAATAATGATATGTGTAGAAAGGCTCATATGATATATGGTCAAGAATGTAAAATAAAGAATACATTTGTCAAAGACTCTTTTAAAGCCAAGACATGCATGTTTATATACTGCACATATCTATGCAAAAGTCAAGATGCCTAAAACTATTTCCTAGCAGGTTACTTTTCCCGCTTTTACTTAAGCTGTAGTAAACATAGGGCTGCAGGTGACTCTGTGGTCACATGCGGACTGAAGAGTCTTTTATAGTCAGGGAGAATAATGATCTTACAATGACAAATCTCAACGATTACATGAAAACCACTTGGTAATTCGAATGTTTCCTACCATCTCCTTTCCTTCTTGGTGACTTTGCGGCTTTTCACAAAATGTGTTAAATAATATTGACCAAGTACATGCTACAATATGTGCATGTGCTATGAGAGCCCCAGACAGAGCAAATGCACTGATTTCTCCCTTTGCATCTGCAAAACAACACAAAACAAAGTCAACTCTGCATTGCCCCTCCAATTGAAAACTCTCCTCAACTCAACCAGAGGCAGTGTTCTGAGCTTCAACTCTAATTACTTTACTTGTAAAGGTTCATTTCAGGATATTTACTTTGCCAAATAGGCTGTCCAAGAAGTATCTGTTGTTTAAAAAGTCATGCATGTCCCTTTTCAAGAATGATCCTATTAAGAAAACTACTAGCATGGTTTAGTGTTATGACAAAGAAACCTCTTGTCTAGTCTCCTACCTAAACAAGGTGGCTCTGAGGTGGCCTCATATAAAAGAAGTGGTACCATGAGTCCTAAAATTAGGTAAGTTATTTTTTTAAATCCTTAGTGTCTCCCCTTAATGTCACTCTTAACTTTAAAAACAAGTTGTTCAAAAGAGAATTAAAAACCTTTCTAGCAAAAGACAATAAAATATGGTCTCGAGAGGGCCAGCTGGTGGTTCCTGTGTGGAGCATTGGTACCATGTGAGAAAACGCAGTTCTCTTGACTCTCTTGGGAATTGGCCACTCCAGCTACCATAACCGAATGCATGCAAACTGTATACAGTTTTCCCTTTCTCTTGAACTCATTTATTCCAGTTTCTTTCTGATACAGCTAGACACTTAAACAGCCATTAAATGTTCCTGGTGCTCCCACATGAAAAGCCATGGAGGCTGGGATCCCGACAGTTACTGCTGGTCTCTGGAACAATCTGAGTAACATGATCTGCTGATAGCTGATCAATTCTTTTGACAAGGGACTGCTGAACACTATTTCTGACAGCAAATGTAGCTGAGTTTATAGAACAAAAAAGTGAATTACTTGGAAGATTGCATATAGTAATAAAAACCTGAACATCTGGATTTTAGCTTTTTCAGTCAGAAAAGTTTGGGACTACTATTTTTTCCCCCTGCTTTTGGCTTCCATGATGGAAGCCCAAGATACATGAACAAGATATTTGATCTTTTACCCTATGCAAACCTGTTTAAAATTGAAATGAAAGGACATGAAAGAAAAACATGATTAGTTTTTCCCTCTCTCCTGGAATCTGCATACAGCGCCATTCTTCCTGTCCACCTGTATGTGCAACAAGAGTGGTTTTTGTAAAGCACTTGACAAAGGGCTTTCACACATGATTTTGACCCTCATTATATTCTGATTAGGTAGGGGCATTTCATATGATTTTCTCCATTTTACAGATGAGAAAACTGTGGCTTACAAAGGTTTCAGTGATTAGACGCAGAGCTGCAGCTAGCACATATGGTGCCTTTATGTGAATTACAAAAAGGCACCTCTTTCTTCTGACTGACACCTCTCCAGGGCTCCAGCCTGGCAAGGGGGGTGCAGGCTGGACTGCAGGCTCCACACATACTTTTGTACATGGCAGCGCTGGTCCAAATCAATCAATAAATGGCAGAACCAGGGCCTAAACCCAGACCCACTAGCTCTGGATCCTTGCCTCCCCTTCTAAGGTTATAGAACAGGGGTGGGCAAACTTTTTGACTCGAGGGCCACAATGGGTTCTTAAACTGGACCGGAGGGCCGGAACAAAAGCATGGATGGAGTGTTTGTGTGAACTAATATAAATTCAAAGTAAACATCATTACATAAAAGGGTACGGTCTTTTTTTTTTTAGTTTTATTCCTTTCAAACAGGCCGGATCCGGCCCGCGGGCCGTAGTTTGCCCACGGCTGTTATAGAACATTCCTTTGTCCCTTTTTGCTTTTAGTCTCCTATTGGGAGAAAGCAGAGACTTCTGTAAAGAGTTACCTGTTATTTACTCTTAATTGGCATTTTTCTCCTCTTAGCTGTATATGGTACTACCTCTTCTCTGAGAATTAGGGCTTTGGAACTAAATAATTAATTTTTTTAGCATCTGTTTTGCAGATTTGAGGCTTTGTTTCATTTTGTTTTCCTTCTGTGTGTGTGTGTGTGTGTGTGTTAATTATTGTGGTTATTTTTGATACAGATTTTCTGAAAAATCGTTAAGTGTTCTATTTACAGAAAAAGTCTAGAAAGTTCTTCTTTCCTACTGCAGAAATTCTTAAGAGGTAGCAAATAAGTCATTTGCTACATGTTCTAGATTTTAGTTGAGGCCTTCAGAAAAACATAGCCATTTCTGGTTCCATTCCTCAGCTTCTAGGTCTGGAAGACTAGTGCAATTGTCAGGTGTTTATAAAACAGGGGAAGGATGAATAAAAAATAATTTTGGGGGGATTGTAGTCTAGAATAGTGGCTCTAAGAATACAGCTGTAAATTTAAATGTTGTAGCTATACTGTTTAGTTACCTGAAATTTTGCCTTTTTAAACACTATATTTGTGGTTCTGCTCCTTGAATTTTTTAATCTGTCCAATAAATGTATTTAAGTAGATATTTTACAATGAAGCTCTCCTTTTACAAGTCAAACTCTCTTTTAATTGTTCCATGTGCAGATGATTTAGTATTCACCTTAAATCAGTAAAACAACCTTTCTTCTCATTAAAGGAAAAAGTCATTTTTGATGGGGCCTTGACATTCTATTTTGAATTGTTAGGATGTGGTTTGCGGCTTCTGTAATTTCTTCTTCATGAATTGTCAGCATCTAATCAAGAACTAAAGCTGTTTAGTAATGGTATATGGTGCATTTATGTAAGTTTCTCCATTTCATCATCACATTCAGTTGCACTGTATTGTGAGTAGGATGCTTAACCTAGTACACATGATAACTTGTTTTAAAGTATTGATTTATTTAATTTTCTAGACATTTGCCATTGCTGGACTGGGGTCTGGACTAACAGAAGCCATCGTGGTTAATCCTTTTGAGGTAGTAAAAGTTGGCTTGCAAGCTAATCGGAACACATTTACAGAGGTAATCATTTAAGGTTTTCCTATTGTTGAAGGAATATAAGATAAAATATTAAAAGTATATATAAAAAATTATGAACCCAGCCCGGCCACATGCTCAGTGGCTGAGCATCAAACTATGACTCAGGAGGTCCCGGTTCAATTCCCCGTCAGGGCAGATGCCCGGTTGTGTGCTGGATCCCCAGTGTGGGGCGCGCAAGAGGCAACCGATCAATGATTCTCTATCATCATTGATGTTTCTAGCTCTCTCTCTCCCTCTTCCTTACTCTCTGAAATCAATAAAAATATTTTTAAAAATTCTGAACCCAGTTCTTATCCCTTGCTAAGTCATATAAAATTATTGTTAAAGAAGTAGCATAAGAAAATGTCAAATTTCTCCCACAAGGAAAATGTTAACAAAAATGCTCTAAATGGTGGGGGCTTGCCCGGGATGGCAATGGCTGGGGAGAGGGTTCTAATCAGGGAAAAAAGGAGACATATGTAAAACTTTACACAATAAAAAAATTAAAAAAAAATGCTCTAACATCTGATGAACAAATACATATTTACACATTTTTATTTTAGAGTTTTAATGTAAGGTATGATTTATTTGGAAATGTTTTCCCTACATTTGGCAACACTTCTATTTCACGTTATAGTAGAATAGACTATAGCAAAAACCACTGAGATGATAGTATTATTGTTTCTAAAAAATTTATGAAGTCATTTTTAGAAATTACCTCACTCCTTTCCCTACTCCACCCTCGGCCCTCCTTCAAAGATTCTGATAATCTGTCAAGCTTGTCTTTTGGTTAAGTCTGAATGAGCAAGTTACTAAACCTGTGTAGACATCACTACTTGGACTATGATGGGTCTTGACATTTAATCGTTGGTACATACTGTTCTGTGAAGACAGCTTCCCTAGGTGTGTGCTGCCTTCACTTCCTTCCAGTTGCCTAATAATTCCCGTTATCACCAAGTCCAACTGTTCTTGCTTTATTCTTTTGGGTGTCAAGCACAAGGTAGAGAAAAAATAAGGGAATTGGTATTCCAGATCCTTCCTTAGCATTTTAATTTAATTCCACAACTGGGTAGCATGTGGTTTAAATTGGTTTGGAGTATCTGCTGACCTGAATTTCTCTGTAGAAAAGTTCCTCTGCCTACTACTTAAGCAGCTGCTAGTGGGTGGAGACCCCCTCACTCCCACCCCACTTCCTGCCTGCTGAGAGCTCCCTGCCAGCTTCTTGAGCAGTGATGTGTGTGGGGGGAAGGAGAGGGCCTCTACTCACCTGTAGCTACCAAGGCCTGAGGAGGACAGGGTTGGCCCCCTACAGCAGATGGTATCTACTCAGGTGAAATCCATCCTAATTAAGGGAGATTTTTTTCAAGTTTCAAAAGATTATCTTAATTGCAGTGATATGTAGCACTTCAGAAAAGGTTGAAAATCCCTACATTACCCTAGTCTGTGTTTCTGTTTTGCTTTCTTTCTGTTCTTCCTTAATGATGGAAAGAGATGGTGAGGAATAGGAGGAAATGAAAGAAATACCTTTCAAATGCCTTATCAATATGGAGCATTTAAAACAACGCCTATGGAATCTGCTCAGGGAAAATTTTATTTGTTAGACTGGGAGAATTACCAGCTAGGAGTAAATTTTGGAACTCCCCATCCAATTCCTCATTTTACCTATTGGGAAGCTTGTCTTAGAGCAGCAATGAGTAAGCAAAGGAATAAACATGCCTTCAACTGCAGCCCTTTATGAAGGTAGCATGTAACCAGAGGGACACACTTGGCACAGAGCACCAAGGAGTGCTCACAGAGATGAAAATAATGAATTGTCACAGCACCTCTGCTCATACCTAACTGTCTTTTCTCTCCTCTGCCCTCAATGAGGTTCTACGCTGAGGCCAAGTAAGAGCTGTTAATGTTTTGCATGTGTGAAGGCCTTGCTGGAACATGGTAAACAGCCTTCCAGCCCAGCATGAGAAGGCTGCATGTGTGTGTGTGTGTGTGTGTGTGTGTGTGTGTGTGTTCCCAGCTCATTTACACGAGTGCACTCTGTGTAAATTGTTTATGTGCATGCAGCTGTTTTTTAAGTGGAGAAGAAAGAGGCACTTGTTTGGGATCATTTCTTTTGCATAATCCACTGAACTGATTCATTGTTAGATATTTACTTAGAGTAAAAGCTACTAGGTACATTGTAAAATATTTTCAATATTCCTTTAACTAGTCAGAACTTAGCAAAGAAAGGATCACATGGGTCACACGTGTCAACAACTATCAAGATTCAGTAGCTGAACTGAGGTGGCCCTTTATACGCAATATTGATCAAATTGAAAGTAGTTATAGTAGTACACAGTCACACAACATAAACTATGCCTATTACAAAAAAATCTGAAAGAGATGATGCGGTAAGAAGAGCAAATTTGGATCTAGTTATTTAAAACTACCCATCACTTTTGGTCATACAGCCATTTCCTATATGTATGTCTAGGACCCATTGACTCCAAAGCCTTTGTCCACTGACTCGCCTTTTCTTTTCTCCAATAAGGGGATACCCCTGTGCTGAGTATATACAAATAGTAGGTGTGCTTGCTTTAGCATTTGTATGGCCAAGAATAATTATTGCTATCTTCACTCTGAGGCTTTGTAGATTGTCAAGAAGTATGAGGGTTGGGGGTTGGAGAAGGAGAAGAGGAAGAGAAAAAGAAAGTGAGGAAGAAAGGAATTAATGTAATGTCCAATGCATTTAAAAATTATACTTCTTTTTTAATTTCTTTATTAATTAAGTTATTACATATGTGCCTTTATCCCCACATTACCTCCTTATCCCCCCCCACTCATGCCCTGACCCCCCTGTTCTCTGTGTCCATTGGTTAGGCCTATATGCATGCATATAAGTCCTTTGGTTGATCTCTCCCCCTTCCCCCCACCCTCCCCTACCAATGCATTTAAAAATTATACTTTTTTTAAGAAAAATGTTTAAATTCAAGTATAAAGGTAATGCAGATTTATGTTAGAAAACACCAAAAATATGTATTTTTGTGTATGCATATAAGTGTATAAATGTACTAAAATGATCTAGAGCAGCACTATCCAATAGAAATGAAATGTGAGCCGCATGTCCTAATAGCTATATTAAAAAATGTAAAAAGAAATAGATGAAATTAATTTAATACTATATTTTATTTAATTCAATATATCCAAAAAAGTATCATTTCAATATGTAATCACTCTAAAAATTATTAGATAATTTACACTATATTTTTATACTTAGTCTTTAAATCTCATGAATATTTGATGCTTATAAGCACATTTCAATTTGAACTAGAGCATTTCAAGTGCTGAATAGCCACATGTGGACAGTCATGTCCTTATAGGAAAAGGCATGTCTAGGGGAATTAATACAAACTTTTCACTGGTTATCTCTGGGAAAGAGATTGGAGTGGGGGAGAAGAAAGCAAGAATTTTAAGGAAATGGCTTTGTGTAGTTGAATTTTTACCCTGAGAACACATTAAGTATTCTGTGAACACTTACTCTAAAAGTTGCTCATCATATAAGACTTAGAAAATACAGAACAGTAACAAGAAAAGTAAGTAATCCAAAAGAAATGTTCTAATGGCTCTGCCAGGATCAAGCCTACCCTAGGGAGAACCTTCCCAACTGATCCTGGTAGGAATGACTTGCTAGCCCATTTAGGACTCAAACAGTTCCTCTTTTGTTAGGGAAGGATAGTAGTAATGGTCACATCAGATAGTGTCAAGCTGTCAATACAGTCTGACATATAGTGATGGTTTAATGTGTTAGTAGTTATTATTACAAGATGCTTTTGATGCACATTTAAATGTGATGATATATGCAAGTCTTAACACAGCACCTGGTACATGATAAGCACTCAACCAAAGATAACTATTTCTAGATGCAAGTTGATCTTATAAATCCTTAAGTTCAAGTAGAGACAGGTTATTTTGAGATATTGACCTGATTAATATTGAGCAGTCACAAGTGACACCAGTGTGGGCATGAAAACAGCTTACTGAGCAATGGTCAGGCTTCTTCTTTAGGTCATTCTCAGCTGCCAGTAGGACCCATTTAGCCTGAATTCTTTAGCAGGACCTAAGGGCTGGCAGCCTAGTTCCAGTGCCTATTGACAAGGTCTTTAAACACAGGTCCACTATCATCAATACTAGCTGGGTACCTGCTTGCTGTAAATAAATAGCATATAGCAGCAGAAGTTAGAGATGACACTAAAAGCATTTAAAGCAGAATGAATTCTACCTGAATCAAGACATTTTCCCTCTGGAATAATCATATAAAGTTAATGAGGGTTATTAATCAAGCCTTCTTAGTCACGTCACATAAAGGCTGCGAACTAGTAAGCTCATTTTCAGCCTTTTCAGTCAATTACAGCTAGCAGCTGTGGTGGAACACTGAATGGATAGGTGGCTGCAGAATCATGGCTTGACACCTTTAAGGAAAGCAGAGAAGTTTCCTCAGAGGCCTATTTTGCAGGTAGATAACTCTTGTTCTGCCAGTGCTGTGAGTTTCTGGGGCAGCATGTCTCCCCTCCTGGGTGTGCACCACCCTACATGCTGCACAGTAATTGTGTTTTTCCCTATTTTGTCAGCTTGAGGAGGGGAGTCACAAATTAGTCCTTCAAACATGAAAATTTCCTAAGAAGTTGTGGTAGTTGAGAGGGACTCTTCAGTGGAAGACAGACTAAGGCAGCAGTAGTTAACATTACACTCAAGTCTTAGAGGCGACAGCAGAGTGATGAAGGAGCAAAGGACTGCCATGGTTCCTGGTGCGCAGAGCATGGTCTAGAACAGTGATGGCGAACCTTTTGAGCTCGGCGTGTCAGCATTTTGAAAAACCCTAACTTAACTCTGGTGCCATGTCACATATAGAAATTTTTTGATATTTGCAACTATAGTAAAACAAAGATTTATATATATTTTTTTAATTTGTATATCTTTTTTTAATTAAATCTTTATTGTTCAGATTATTACATTTGTTCCTCTTTTTT